CCAGCTAATTTTTTGTATTTTTAGTAGAGACGGGGTTTCACCATGTTGACCAGGATGGTCTCGATCTCTTGACCTCGTGATCCACCCGCCTCGGCCTCCTTAGGTGCTGGGATTACAGGCTTGAGCCACCGCGCCCAGCCAGTATTCTTTTTCTATTTATCCCTTCTTTATTGTACATGTGGGCTACATTTGTGGATATTTTGGTGACTTTTAAAATGTATTATAAAGACCTGTTATATCCTAAGGGCAGGCATGCTGATTCTAATCCATAGTTTCTAACTTTTATCTGTATGATTTTTTGTGAATTAAGATTGTTTTATTTTTCCTTTAAAGAAATTGAATTCCCCTACGTTGTCGGTGAATAGTGATGGATTTATACCTATGCTGTCCAAGTTAGATGATTGTATAACATATATCTCATCTCATGTAAGTCATGGTATTTTTGCATGTTTTAAAGAAATCTTAAGATTCCTGTTATATCATCTCTTGTGCTGTAAAGTGATTATTTCTGCCCAAGGGAAAAATATGTATTTGTAGCATATTAAATAAAATCTGTAGTGAATTCTTGGTCATTATTAGCAGTGATGTAAAAAGTACTTTTATCTCCTGCAGTGGCCCCTGGAATGGACCACGTCCTGGCTGACTCAGCTTTATCCCACCTAACAGGATGAGGTGTTTTTAAGTTGTTGGCATCTTGATGTGCTAGGGATTTCTTTGGAAACAGGAAGTGTTACTTGGGGAGAAATAAAGAGACAAGCCCTTTGATTTAATCACCCTCTATTTGTATTTCTTTAAGATTTATTGCTGTGTTTATTTCCCCTAACTCCTATTCTTTTCTTAGTTGGGCATTACATATTAGCCTTGAAGTCTGTGGGGTGCTGAAAATATCTTTTGCTAACAACTGCAAATATGTGTTGAGCTCCTACTTTGTGCTAGGCACAGTAGGTTTGACTATGACTAAGACAGTCACAGTATTTATTCAGCTTTGTGGAGTTTATGATCTTTACGAAACCTGTTTTTGAACTTTATATATTGCTTTACTTGGGGGCACCTTGGTTTTCACTAAAAGATTATTTTTTTGTCAGTGTTTGTTTCTACTTTTTGAATCTTTCTCTTTTCCTTACAGCCTAATTTTAAAGATTATCCTGTATATTTGCTGAAGTTTAAGCAGTGTCTTTCTAAAGCTTTGCACCTCATGAAGACATACACTGTGAACACACTACAGACCCTCACAAATCAGTTACTGAAAAGGGTGAGTTAACTCATCTCAACAACAGATCATTTTTGTTGCTCTTTTTGATTCATTCATCTTCTGTAATCTTTGGCTCAGATTAGTACTTTGTAATTCTAAAAATTACAAAATTCTAAAAATTTGTTAAGTAAGAAAATGTACTGGAGCTTTTTATTTATAGTAGGGAATAATGACTATGTTATAAATACCCCTTGCAAATCTTATTTCCAAATAAGATTTAATAGTGTGAGAAGTATTCAGAACTATATGATGAATAATAAGATACAAAGTGTTTGTCACTTAAAACATTCCTTTTTAATAAAAATATTAGAAGGAAATATACCAAAATCATAAAAATGGTTCTGTCTGAGTGGTGGGATACAATGCATAATTTAAATTTTCTTCTTTATACTTTTTTTGGTAGTTTTCAATTTTTCTATGTTTAGCAAACATTTTTATTGAGCATTGCCTAATACTTGATATTGTATTAGGAATTGTATAGTAACGAAGAGGAGCTAATAATGTCCCTGCCCTCATGGAGCTTATATTCAAAAGAAATAACCAGTATGGAAAGAAACAAATCAGTTAATTATAGATTATATTTAGATTAAATATCTATTATATTCTAGGTGGAAACTTAATAGAGTAAAAGGTTAGAAAATAAGAGTAGAACTAGCTAAGATGGTCATTGAACATATTCCTTTCCTAAGAAAATAAAATCATAAATGTTATGTTTTAGTTTTTAAGCTTACTTTCTAAAGAATGTGGAGTGTCTTTTTGAACTTTCCATTCAAAGCTAGTGATATTTGGCTTGCATTTTTACTGTTTACATTGTTCTTAGCTGACATAACAGCCAACCTATGTATTTTTTTATTTTGCAAAATTTTCAGTAGGTTTAGGAAACTGATATTGGTACCCATTATGTGCTAGTGCTTTACTATTGAGCTGCACCAAACCTTTAGGAGTTTAATGGATGCACTGAGCCTCAGAGGGATAAAGTACTTGGGCCAGTGTCCTATGTTCAGTGAGTGGCAGAATGTGAATCTGAATTCAGGTCTGTTTACCACCAAAATTTAAGTAATGTAAGGTTAGTTATAACGATAAAGGAGAGAGAGATGACAGTTCCATTTAATTATTTCTCATTTGTAGCCATAATAATATTTAATATCTCTGAGATTTTTCTGCCTAAACTTTGGTTGGTATGCAGGCCAAGCAGTAGCCACAGGAAATGGTTGGTGTTAGGTTTTCTGAATGATTATTTGTTTGCTAATTATCTTCCTTCCCTATCCTCCCCATGTTTCTTTAGGACCCTTCATCTGTACCTAACGTAGACAATGCCTTCACATTATTTTATGTGAAATTTCGAGCTGCTGCCCCCAAAGTCAGAGTAAGTCTATTGACATAACTAGGACATTGCTCTGAGATTTGCTCATCCAGCCCCTTTGAAGTATTATTGTATGGTAAGCCCTTTATTTATACCGAAGGAAGTGAACGTGAATGAAAGGTCGACACTGTCTTTCCGAATTATAGCAGTGTTTCTTAGTGTTGTATCTAGGTTCTTGAAAAGTCTGCAGAGCAGGAAACATCTAACTTTTCCTGTGATGCTGAGGGATGGTTTCGATGAAGGTGATAGTTGAGTTATAAAAGCTTGGCTAAGGCCGGGCGCGGTGGCTCAAGCCTGTAATCCCAGCACTTTGGGAGGCCGAGGCGGGTGGATCACGAGGT